GGGGGGGGGGGCGATGTGGGGACCGGTCTAGCAGCCAGGCAGGATTGAGAATCGGGTGAGTATATCTTTTTATTTTACATCCTCGACCAAAACATTATCCCTTGCAGTGTGGCTAGGCCCACTGAAAGGGTTAAGTTTTCTTCTGTCTGGAGTACTTCTTTCAAAAAAACAACTCCACTCCAAACTGATTTTAATTTCTGTCCAGAAACCCATGGATAGATCTTCTGAGACCTTGACTTTTCAGAATGCTATATATTTTGCTATCATTTGTTATTATGGAGAGTCATTTAGAGGGTGAATGATACAGTATTTCTGAGCTGTGATTTTCAAAGGACTTTCAAAAGGAATACATGGCGAAATCTCTTACACCAGTGACAAGAGTAGCTTAGACAAAAAACAACAAGCAAATCCTGTCGCAGCAAAGTTGGGAGTTGGGAGTTTCTTGAGATACTAGAAGAGCAGAGTTATCCACACAGCAACGTAGACAGGAGCCTAAGACAAACTCTCTTTCATTGGTTCTGTACTTGGTCCAGGTTCTTAAAACAGAAAGCACTGGAGACTGGGAAAGCCAGACAGCTAGAATATTCAAAGGTCTGCTACGTCGGACTACATATTCCCCTTGGTACAAGTTTCCTGTAAAATGTCTTCTAAGCTCTCCCTTTTAACAATAAATAATTCCCCTTATTTAGATAAGCATATCAAATACATTAGATCACTTTAAAGGGAAAGGGCGCATTCTGCAGAGAGCAATCTTATTGCTTTATATGTGCATGTCTTATCTTAATTAACTTTACTTTAATAAATCTTGATTTAATATACTCTGAAGGTACCGCCTTTTGTCCATTGTTGAAATGATTATGGATAGTTAAATACATATATTTCTTTACCTTCCTCTGGATCAACAGTGGGTAACTGTGGGTATAGCATTCTGTTTTAGGTTTTTCTTCTTCTTTTTTTTCCCTCTTATCTCTATAGGTTGAACTCGATGGACTTGTGTCTTTTTTCAACCTGACTAACTGTGTAACTATTTACATAGGACAATTGTTCCTCAATCAGCTTTTTTGTCATAAGGTTTTGTAGAGACAAGTCTACCTTGTCTATAAGCAGTGGTGTCACAAGGGGGTGTGGCCCGCACCCGGGTGACACCATTGGAGGGGTCACACCAAAATGACTGACAGTCAGTTTGGTGTCACCCCCTCTAAAAAGTCAGGCACTCGGTCATGGTCACTCATCCCGCCGGGTGAACGTCCCCTCCTCTCTCTGCCGACGTCCATAACCAAGATGGCCACTGGCAGGCATCAATAAGATGGCTGCGCAGGCGCGTGGTGACGTCACGCGCCTGTGCGATGACATCATAGTGGGGTGTCACACGGCATCCGCTCCGGGTCACACCCGGCCTCGGGACGCCCCTGCTATAAGTATCCCAAATTATCATGTTCTTTGCAGTTCCACAAACAAGATTTGCTCTACAGGTCACCTGTATCCCTGACGCCAAAGTATGAATTTCAGCAATGTGCAAAATGCATGTATGAAAGTGTTAACCCTGAGTCCAATCTGTGCTTAGAGCAGAGCTCTTTATAGGAACACTATTGCCTAGCAAAAGGAAGTAAAGCTGGCTATACATGCAATACATATATATACAATATAATTTTATAAATCCCTTTAATATATGTTAATATAAATATTACCCTGGTAATTTGTATGGTCTGCTTAAAATAGATGTAAACCCAGTCACTAAAATCTCATAGTAGTAAGCTAGAAAAAAAGGAGTCTAATTTGTTAGTACACTCCTAGGGTGGTGTATAATGTTATGGCTGGTGTGCGGCTCCTTCTCTTGTTAGACTGAGGTGTCTAACTGTAAAAAGCTGAATAGAAAAAGAACAGAGGAGGGGGCGTAACTGACTGGCACAGAATTTGTATAAGGGAAATAACCAGGGACTAACAATGAATCGAGGTAAATAAACGTTGGAATGAAAAGGCGGTGTTTGGCACTCATGTGTGATGGAATGAGAGAGCACAATGGTAATGAACTCTTCTGATAGGGTTGGTGCTAGTTCATTAATGGGACATTCCTGGTGATGTGGTCTCGCCATTGAGAAATGGAGCCTGACCCCTGACCACCTCAATGGCGAGACCCTATGACCACATCACCAGGACTCCAGGAGTGTCCCATCACTGTGCTCGCACCAACCCTATCAGAGTAGTTCACCACCATTGTGCCCTCTCATTCTCACATGAGTGTCAAACACCTCCTTTCCATTCCAGCATTTATTTACTTTGATTCATTGTTAGTCCCTGGTTATTTCCCTTACACACATTCTGTGCCAGTCAGTTGCGCTCCTTTTTTCCTTTTCTTTTCAACTAAAATTTCATATAATCTTTAGTGACTTTATCATTACCTCACCTGTTGCCTGTACTGTCAAACACTGCTCCATTGCGCAGTCGTGCAATGGGGTTACATCCGTGCGGCAATCGCAGAGAAAAGGTACATGTACCTTTTTTTGCGACTCACGACGCCGCAAATGTGTTTGGTTGCATGGGTGGAAACTGCGCGATCCGCCTGGCGTGACTGGGGTGCCTTTAGAAAATAATGGCACCACCAGTAATATCATAGGAGTTGGGTGACTCTGTGACTGCGCGGCAATCCACGCAGTATTGAGCCCTATTGCCACACGGTCACGGATCGCCCAGGTCTGAACCTGGCCTAAGCAACAGAGTAAAGTTTTTGCAGTTGCAAAAAGCTGTTTTACATTTTTTTAAAGAATTATCACCCCCCAGGGGAGCCAGTGCACATAGCACTTGGTCCTGTTTAGATCTGTGCAGCGGTTTCCAAAAAAAAACAACATTATTCTCTGCTTGTTCTGTAGCTCTACCCCAGGCTAAAGCCCAATTTATGGGTCTTCCTATACACCCATACAGCCAAAACTAAAGTCACTTCCTTCTCTTTACTGTGCAGCTCTGCCATCTAATCTTGCAGCCCTGTACCTCGTCTGCTTTATCTCTCTGCTATCTACCATCATGTACTGAAAAGTCTTCTTTGTACAGAAAATTGATCCATCCATGTTGCTCAGTCTTTCCTTCTGTTCAGCACACAATGAAAAAAATCTATTGTATGGCCAGCCTAAAATTATTAGTGTGTGCTAGGGAAAGCACACACTAATTGTGTGTAGGGAAAACACACACTAATAAAGGACAATGCTACAAAAGTATTTTCATCCTTTAGGGCTAGTTCACACCATCTTCAGTGCGTTCCGGGCCGATTATGGGCGGAACGCGCTGGATCGCATTGCACTTTGTTGTGGGGAAGGAGGGACGTGGCGGTCCATTGAACCCACCGGTCGCAATGTGATCAGCCGCACGGTAACGCAAGGCCCATCAATGCCTGTGTTCCAGTCAGAAAAAATGCTGCAGGCACGTGGCTGCGGTGTAATTTACTTAATGAACTGCCACGCCCCCTCCAGCCCCACAACAAAGTAAGCCGGCCGCAATGCGATCCAGTGCGTTCCTGCCAGAAACGTACTGTGTCTGGTGTGAATGGGCCTTAAAAGAGAAGACATTTTTTTTAAATAATACTAGTCACAAAAATGTCAATGTGAAAAATAAGAATTAATGTCTGTTTCACACTTGTCATAAAATGCTAACGCTAAGAAGGACGCTTTTAAGAATTAAATACATGCCAACACATTTTTAATGAATAAAAAAGTTTGTAATAAATGTTTACAAACCTTGATTCAGAGCCAGTGCAGGTGCATAGATCACAATACCAGTGTATAACACCTAGAAAACAAGGACAAGGCACACAATTAATGGTAGGCCAGGTTCATTATACCTGGCAGCAGCTCTGACAGGATAAGAGATAGCTGGCACAAATAATTATCTTACTTTTAATCATTCAAAATGAAAGGGAAATCAAAAAGCTAAATACACATTCAAATTACCAACATGTAAACTGCCTTACTGTCTTAATTCTGTTTAAACAGTGATCCAGGTTGAAGACCTCACTTATGCCAGTGCAGTTAAGCAACACAGCGGAGTGGACACTGAAGCAGCAACAACTGCTCAAGCTCAAAAGGTGACGTTAGAGTGCAAAAAGTGATGACATTTGTTTATTTAGGATCAATATGCAGTAAACATGGCAACCTGAAAAAATCTATCTAGTAGCTATTGCTTTCCACAATTAATATATATATATATATATATTATTATACAGGATTTATATAGTGCCAACAGTTTGCGCAGTGCTTTACAACATAGGGAAGACATTATACAATACAATGGTAAGGAGGGCCCTGTTCATGAGGGCTTATATATATATATATTATGGTCACTAGGGATGCACCGATACCGGTTTTGAGTACAAGTTCAATTCGGTATTGAGTACAAGTACCGTTATTTTTTCCGGTGCTCGCCGATAAAGAATACTGAGTACCGGTTTCATGTGCCCCGATTATGTGCCCCGATTATCAGAAAGTCGGGCGAGGGATCATGACCCATTGCCCGGTTTCCTGATTGCCTGTGAAGCCTGTGCTCTACTGAAAGAACACCGGCTTGACTTGCCGAGGCTGTGGAGACTAGAATGCCACAGTCTTAAATAGCCTGCTTAGCGTGAAAATCCACAACACACGAATGCACATGTCCACAAGCACACTGTGAGATGCACCCGCCAACATGCGCAGTGGCGCCCGGCGGTGCACAATTTTGTGAGCCAAACTATGCCCACGCACATGCGCAGGTGCCTGTGCAGGATTCCGAGCACAAGGGCCAAACTTGGCTTCCTGACAGGCTGCCTGGCTTCCTGACCAATCAGGAAGGCGGGTGGCGAGTCATGAGGCGCTGTGTCCGGCTTTCTGATATATCAGGAAGACTGGCTGCCTAGCAACAAGTGAAGCTGGCTTCCTAACCAATCAGTAAGCCGGGTGGCACATAATGACCCACCTCTCTGCTTCCTGATTGGCTAGGAAGCTGGCTTTACTTGTTTATAGGCAGCGTGGCTTTCTGACCAATCAGGAAACTGGGACTCGGGTCATTACGTGCCGCTAGGCTTCCTGATTGGTTAGGAAGCCAGGCTGCCTAGCAACAAGTGAAGCTGGTGTCCTAGACAATCAGGAAGCCGAGAGGCAGATCGTAACCCACCGCCCCGCTTCCTGATTGGAAAGGAAGTCGGCCCCATGCTCCCTCTGCACTGCCGGTAAGAGGGAGATCTCCCTCTTACCGGAAGTTCCAGTATTGAAGGTAAGTTTTGGAGTACTCGCCCAAATGCTCGGTATTGGCAACGATACCGATACTAGTAATGGCATCGGTGCATCCCTAATGGTCACCAAAGAGAAAGATCTGTAGCTATGTAGATAAATTATGTTTTAGATATAAGCAAAATGAATTCATACCACTCAGCAGGACTCACCATTTCAATGATAAAGATGCCTGTTCCCAAGATTCGCACAGTTTTGTTGAAGCGAAGTTCTAAATACTATAAGAGAGTGTACATAAATTGTCGAGAGTTAATACCCACAACATTCTTAGGCCCCTTTCAAATGGTCGAAGTCTCTTTCAATCAGCAGGGGATCCATGAACAGACTTTTGTGACATCCGTGTCCATTCGTTTTTTTTTTCTCCATTTTGTGATGAAGAAAAACCTGAACTAAACAGACCCAAGTTAGATCTATAGGGAGCAATATGTATGATCAGACCACTCATGTGAAATGCTTTTTTCTTGCTGAATGCTACAACAGGCATAATAGAGCACTGTTATGTTGACCACATGTCCACAAATTCCACAATGCAATATTTTAATACTGTTTGCAAACTTTGCTCTGTAAATCTAGCCATGCACGTTAAAGGTCCATTGCAGATTTAAATCTACCAACAATTATGTATTGCAAGGGCCTGCCTGATTGACTGCAAGTGGGTTTTCAGGTAGGCTCAACATTACATAGTTTTGGTAAATCTTAAGGGGATTGAAGAATATGATGGTTACATTTATGGTCAGTTTTACATTCTAACACCCTGTTCTTGTATTTCTCCTAAGACCTATGTAGAGCGCTAGGATTTACAGAATGAGAGATATGATAACAAAAAACCTGTTGTACTGACTGCAGGGATGATCTTCTGGAGAATTGTACAGTCCTTTCTACAGAAGAGAATTTATGAACCTGTGGCAAAGAGCACTGTTGAAGCTGAAACTTTGATATTAGCGATGAACAACCTGCTAGATTTTGTATCACAATGTGTTCACATTACAGAATTTTCCATTTTAAATTGGATCTAGCACCTAGCTTCATACATGCATGATGTTTAATGTGTAAGTGCAAAGCTCTACACAAACCACATTTACAATAACTGTACTGTCTACTTTAAATGTACCAACAACCATGCCATGCAATTACCTTACTAATTGTATAATTGAATGCACTGGTAAGGTAGGACCTTATACTACATAGCTGTGGTAACTCTCAGGCTGGCTTTAGACCATTGTAATCTATTGGAGTGCATTTATGCAAGTGCAGTATGCTGTGTGTTATTGTGCGTTTCATTAAGGCAGCATAGTCATTGTGGGCTGCCTTAATGAAACGCACATTAACACACAACATACACACAGCAACATACAGCAACAGACCAAAAAAAGAACATGATCCTTTTTTTTCACTGCTTGACAGTAATTAACTAATACCCTGCAGGGTGAACTCTATTTTTAGAATTATTTTTAGTGATATAATCATATAAAGTAGATTGCACAGAGAATGTACAAACAGATTGTAATGTGTATGGTTGGCTTAATACTAACATATAGATATATATCTATATAGATATATATCTATATAGATATATATCTATATAGATATATATCTATATATATAGATATATATATCTTACCTCTTACAGAGTTCACAGTGCACTTCAAAACAATACCTGCATATGGTCTTCTCTCAAGAAGGATGCCACCCTCATTGTTTTAGCATCATCCAGGGTCAGCATCTACTTTTTGGACTTAGATGCGCGCTTAGAAACGGCACAGTATATACTAGGTACTTAGATGTGTTTACAAAGGTCTGACACAGATCAACACCTGCTGTAGCCCCTCACTTTGTGACTTGTTACACAGAGTGATAAAATTAAATTGATGACTTGGGGAGAGTAGACTCAGGATCTGTTTACACTAGTGCAACTCTGGTAAAATGTACATTATGAACATTGGTGTGGCAATTCAATGCACCTCTAATTTCACGTGCATTGCTGTGTATTTCGGCCCTTTCATTTTAAATGGACTATTTAGCACAGGAATACATGAATACACTGTTGCAGTACAGAACATTGTGGTATGAATGGATCCTTAGGAAGTACATCCTCCTGCCTACAGCAGACTCATTTGTCCAGGTTGCACCTCTCCCCTGGGCACAGTCACTATCCTGGAGCTTAATTATTTTTTTTCAAATAATGGTAGAGTTTTTTTGAAAAGTTATATTGTTGCTTTATGTTATGACATGTCAGAAATTGATCAATGCAGACTTATAACATCCTTTTGTCCCATGCTATGGTATGTAGTTGTAATACTGTTGCTTTACTGGAGTGTTCAGTATGCTGTTTGTTTTATGTGTGACTCTGCTCCTGGCTAAGCCTTCAGTAAAGCAATTATCTTTTATTTTAACACTTTTTTATTGAATTCTGTTTTTTTCAGAAAGATTAAATCTTTAAATTCATCAGTGAAAACAGCAACAACAGATGTTGTTAAAGTCGAGTTTAACCACTTAGCAGCATTGTCAGTAACATGCACCATTAAGCAGATAAGAAAAAATCAGTTATTATTAGACCTACCCTTTTGCAAGGCTGTTAATAAAAATAATCTTCACCTCTTTGGGAAAAAAAAGAATCTTGCAAGAACATAATGTTTTAAAGAGTGTAAGACTGGTTGAAGGAGATATAGTAGAAAATTGGGGTGCACCAAAGATACATAATAAATAATGGGAGATAATTCATCAGTTTGTGGCATCAGAGATAATTTTATCATGAGGTGAATACATTTTAAGTTGGTGACAGGCAACTTGTTAATTTTTGTATTGCACATAAAAGTTTTTATTGGGCAGTAAAGTGAAGTATAAAATAGGGCCATGCAATTGGAGAATATAGACCTACCAAGCTAGAAGATCAAAACGAAATGGGATCTAGTTGTAATGTTAAATGCGCTGAATCAAAATTCCTTGGCAGGTAGTCCTGACCTTTTTTTATTAGAATTGAGGATCATAATTATCTGTTTTCATTTTTTATTTTAAAATGCTAGGATCATAAATAATTAGTTAAATATTTTTATATGACTATAGTGGAAAAGCTCAGATGATGGAGCTTAAGATTCTGAAATAGCTTAATACAATCTGGAGCAAGTAATCTATATGTTGACATGAAGCCTGATACAGCTTACCAGCAAACACTGAGGGCTTATTGCAGTTCTGGGGGAAACAGTGGGTTGCTTAGAACAATAGTTAATGGTATCCATGCTCTATATTTATTGATCCTGGAAATATGGATTGAATAACCCTTGGCTTCTAAATTCCCTATCAAAGTATCAGAATCTGCCAATATCTGGTATGGGGTGTATCTCTCCCTGTAGAAGCCATTAGAGATTCAAAGCTAAGTTCCCTAATCTATAATGCAGATGTTATTTGCCATAAGAATGATCAATTTCAGCCATTTGACTATGATTTTCAGCTCACAGTGGCTCTCATTGCTGAAAATAACAATAGTTACCGCAAGTCATCCTGCTACAAATTAAAAATCCAGCAGGAAGAGTGCGTAGTTTCATATGCATCAGACTGTCCACGTATCCAAATAGTCATCTCAAAAAATAGACATCTCCTGTCATTACAATTCAATCAGATTTTAGCACAGATATAAACATTTACGTACACATTTGTGAAATGTATTATCTTTGACATTTTCATTGTAGCTTTTCTTGACACTTAGGGGTTGCTTTACTAATGTCAAATGGGCTTTTTCATTTTTAAGGGTATTTGCAATTTGCAAGGGAATGTTCCCTTTAGCTTAGATGATGAGGTGAAGGTCTGCTGACTTCCATTATCCAATCATGTGCAAGCAAAAATACTGATTTTCTTATTTTCCTTGCATGTGATTGGGAATTCTTTGCAAAGTGAGTTTTCACCACATTCACTAAGTTAAGGGAAATTCCTGCCTTTAGTAAATCAACCCCTTAAAGTCTAGGATGTAATGTTAGGTATAACTTGTATCATGTGACAGAGGGCCATATACAAATTTGGTTGAGACATACCTCATAGGTGCTTGTAATTTTAAGTCTGTAAAAAACTGGAAGGAATATTTCTGCACAAATAAGAACTACTAATCCATAAGATATACCAAAGATGCTATACATTGCTCCATAGCGGTAGACATCAGCTGGAGTTCCCAGGATAGTCACTGCAGACATGAAGCTGGCAGTGAGGGACAAAGCCACTGGCACTGCTGTCATACTCCTTCCTCCTGTTAGGAATTCTTGTGAAGTGGTCTTTCCTCGCCCCTCAAAGGCATAATAGATTCCAATAGCTGCAGAAATAAACAGAACAGCCGCAAACACAACATAATCCCAGGGAGAGAAGAGACCGATGTCTGCGGTGGTAGCCATCGCTTGTACAGACTGGCTGCTTTGTACTATGTGTTAAACCTACATTAGTTGAACACATAACAAACAGGTTTTACATCACAATAGATATTGTAGGCTGGGTCACAGAACTTTATGTGCCAACATTGATGCAATAGCCAGAGGGAATTTGTCACTAATATTATTAAGATTTTTTGCACATTGTAAAATGGGAGGGTTCTATAAAGATAACATAGCTGCAACTTAAAGAGAAAAGTGAAGGGCACATTTTTTAATAAATAACTCAGCTTAATCATGCTCTTTGTAATATCACACCTATAATTCCTACCTACTCATACATTTCTAAATAGGACTTTGTCTGAGCTTTTGAGAGCAGTGGAAATAGATCAAGTTTACAGCATATACTGTACAGATTATAATGGTTTATCAGAGTCAAACAATTCTGATGGCCTAAAAAAAGAGGAGTTCCAATAAAGTTTTTGCCAGCTGAAAGTTAAAACATATCTAAATCCAAATTCCAAAAATCAAATATGAACTTTATTATGTTAATGTAATTTCACAAGTTGTTTGAAATATTTTTAAATAGGCATTTTTCATAAAAATAATACCTGCTGATCCTGCAACAAAGGTCCTAACTTACAGTTATTGAGGGTATATACACCGATCATTAATAACATTATGACCACTGACAGGTTAAGTGAATAACATTGATTATCATGTTACAATGGCATCTGGAAGTGGGTGGAATTTTGTCCCTGAAGTTGATGTGTTGGAAGCAGAAAAAATGGGCAAAGGCAACTTTGGCAAGGGACAAATTGTGATGGCTAGACGACTGAGTTAGAGCAACCTAAAAACTGCAGCTCTTGTGGGATGTTTCCGGTCTGCAGTGGTCAGGACCTACCAAAAGTGGTACACGGAAGTAAAACCAGTGGACTAGGGACAGGGAGCTTCTGTGGGATGTGCTGCAAAAACAAGTCTGATCCATGGCGGCCCCACCTTGCAACTTACAGGTCTTAAAGGATCTGCAACTGACGGCTTGGTGCCAGATACTAGACATGTAACCTTGCAAAAAATGTGTTTTTAAAAAAAAAATTATTTTGTTTTTTGGATTTCGTATCGGTAATTCGATTCGGTTCGTTATACAGATTTCGTATACATCCGAATCTTTGTTTTAGAATGATCCACAACAGGAAGTCACATCACCGTGCCTGTAATGCAACCCCCAATAACCAAAAAAATCCATCAGATTGGCCAGAGAACAGTCACATGTCTGATTAAGTTTCCTTTTGGACGAAATTCGGCTGGATCCAAATTTTCGTTAAATGAACATTTGGATTTGTTCGCACTTGGACGTGTTCAAATTCGGAAATTCAGATGCATCTGAATGTTTGAATTTAACAAAATTCATACGAATATCCATTCGGAACTAAACAAAGTTTACATGTCTACCAGATGCCACAGCATACCTTCAGAGGTCTAGTGGAGTCCATGCCTCGACGGGTCAGGCCGGTTTTGGCCCAAAAGGGGGACCTACTCAATATTAGGTGTGTGGTCATAAGGTTATGGCTGATTGGTCTATAGAATGTGTTAACTGGTGATGAGTTACAGTCTATAACACCAGGAATCATAAAATTATTTTTATATAGCACATGCCTTTGGTCTAGTGTCAGCATGCATTTAACAATCAGTTCCAATAAGGAGAGCAGATGGTGGAAAGCTGTGGAAAGGAAGCATTCCCAACTTTAAAAGATAATGTCACTGGTAAAACTCCCTATACATAGCCTGGTGCCTGTTGTATGTGTTTGCAGATTACCTTTTGAGTAAACAGGAGGAAAAAAGAACTGGCAGAACTCCCATTACAGTACTTCAAAATTGAACTCAGGGATAAGCAAATATTCTCTAAATACAAGAGCCATGTGTACTCTTGTATATTTCTTCCAGATCAGTGTGAAACTTTGCCTCCATGCAGAAGCTTACTGTAATAAAAACCAGTCACACAAAGACCACACTCCATGGATCTTCATCGAATATAAAATCTTTATTCAAGACATATAGATACACTGTCCATCCTCCAGCATAAATCACCTGTTCCTAAACCTTCTTTCACCCATTAGGTTTAATCGCAGAGGAGATCCATAAAGATGCATGGAGTGCAGTCCTTGTGTGAAATTTGGAATTTGTAGCCACGATTTGCTCAGTATCTGTACCTGGAATGCTCTTGAGGTGGGGAGTCAGTATGAGAATGGAGGTGGTAATTTGTTTGCTATGGTTTACAAAGACCAGTTACTGCTGTTCTCTCTCCTTGCACAGGGTGACTGGTCTTGTCTTCACCCCCTCCTGTAGTTTTCTGCAGGCAGCCTATAGGTGGGGGCTGCTGGATCACCTCCACAATTCTCGTCTCTGCACAGGTTATGTAGAGCACAGTGATGATGTTACTGCTACTTTCCCAAGGTAATATTTGGGTTTACAAAGGCATTTGGTGCACATAAGGTGGATTTATATCCTTTGTCGCTATTTAGGAATATATTTAAATACTTTTTTTTGGTGCCAGGAGTTCAGCTTTAAAGCCCAAAAGTAAAGAAACATAAGAAGTAAAATATTATGTAACTGATGTATGTGAATAGCGTTACAAGAACACTTCTTGTTGCCTATACAAACAATTCAGAATCCTTGACAGTTGAAAGCAAATGTGTTACAAAAGACAGCAAGAACAATGCTGTTAGTATACTTTTGCTGCATCAGCCCCTATTTTTGCAAGTGTGATTTGCTTGCCCAAGTACATAAAAGTACCTAACGTATTTTGAAGTGCACTTATTGTTCAACACACAGTACTGTATTTTCAAAGAATTACCAGGCTTAGGACATACAAGTCTGTGATTGTTTTCTCATACCGTCCTGTACTGCAAAGCACAATGGGGACATTGCAGATATGTAGGATTCTTACCATGATATTCCAGTATGGGCTCCACTATGTGACAGACAACACAGGAAAAGCACTGCATACCCAAACTGGCACATAACTCAAGTAACATATCTGTCAAATACAAAAGCTTGCCACCTAGTGGAAATATCATTATCTATGGGGTCTATTCACGAAGCTGCCGAAGGATCTGGCCGTAGCTTCGGCCGATCCTTTGGCTAGCTTCGGCCCCAGGACCCCTTCGGTTCAGCAGAACCGAAGGGGTGCTGTACGGGCTATTCACAATAGCCTGTACAGCTCCCGATTATGGCCGAGCGGCTCAGCCGAACCGAACGCATATGCATCGGCTCGGCTGAGCCGTGCTGAAAGCCGAAGATGGCCGAGCGGCCGGCCATTGGCCTGCTTCTGACAGCTGGGCGGAGCTCCCGGCCGCCAAGGAGAGAAACAGTGCTGTGTTTTTTTTCTTTATTCTGACACAAGCATGTCAGAATAGAAAAAAATATTATTTTTCCCATTGAAAAGCATTGGGACATTACTATTGGCTATTTCAATTTGCAATAGCCAATAGTAAACTAGCATTGTACCCGCCCTCTGCTGCAGTTCCCCATCAGGTCCATCAGCAGAGGGCGGGAACAATGCTAGTTTACTATTGGCTATTGCAAATTGAAATAGCCAATAGTAATGTCCCAATGCTTTTTAAGGGGAAAATTTCTTTTTTTTTTTTTTAATATTCTGACATCGATCGTGTCAGAATAAAGAAAAAAAAAGACACATCAGTGCTTCTCTCCTGGGCGGCCGGGAGCAGGAGGCTCCCAGAGCGCCCAGGAGAGTTTTTTTTTTTCGTTTTTTTTTTACAGCAGCAGAGCCACCGGACAATAGGAAACTATTGGGCGGAGCTAGCTGTCTCTGCTAGCTCCGCACAATAGTTTGCTATTTACTTTTTTAAACTTTTTTCACTGTTTTTCTGTTCTGCTCGGTACCTCTGAGGGACCGAGCAGAACAGCCGAGCCGAAAGCCGCTCGGCGGCATTCGGCTATTCACTCACTGCTGTTCTGGATCTTTAAGAATAGCCCGAACAGCAGTGAGAAGCCTGCCGGAGGTTCGGCTCAGCCGATCCAGATGTTGGATCGGCTGAGTCAAACTCCTTCTGCACTTCGGTTCGGCCGAACATGCTGAGCATGTTTCGGCCGACCCGAAACCACACGAAGCAAGCCGATGTACGGCTGATTTCAGCCGATGTACGGCCGAAATTAGCCGTACCAGCCTAAAGTTAATAGCCGAACAGTGTTCGGCTCACTTCACTTCAGATCGGTCATTCACTCGGCTGCCCTCGGCAGCTTCGTGAATAGACCCCTATGTAATGTTTCATTCACCTCTAAAATGATCATGATTTTAAGAAGACAGACCTGTCTGGACTGTTTTAAAGTGTAGACATAATGATAAATAATTCCCCATAAATGATTTCTCAGGTAAAAAGATTAAATGTAAAGAATAGCAGGAAAACAACAAGTTATGGGGTTTACGTAAAGAAGAATTGATAGTTATAAGTTTTCATGTATAGAATGAATAACAATAGTAATACAACGTTATCATTCCTTCAGTTGTTCCCAAATTATGGTGGATCCTCTCCTCCTCTAGCTGGTGCTAGATGAAGATTCTCACCAAGGAGTGCACAGTCTTCACCACTGCCTCCCACATAGTCAAGGAGAAGGACCCCTTTCATTCCTTTACTTTCCTCTGTTGTCTCAATTTTTTGCTTTTCCTTTTTTATCTCCCTCTTTTGTCCCGTCCAGCCCCCCCCCTTCCTCTCAACCTGTACTCCATTTTGTCTTTCTCTCTCTTCCCTTGCATCTTTTTTTTTAATCCCTCTATTCTTTTCACTAGACATGTGCACTGCCAAAAAATTTGTTTCGTTTCGTTTTAAATTCGGATTTGTGTTATTTCGTTTTTCGGGATTCGTGTGTGAAAGTCAATTCGGAATTCGGATTCGGAAAGAAATTCGGTAGCGGTAGTTCGTTCGACCGTTCGTTTCGTTTTCGTTTCTTATTCGGTTCGTCCATTCGTTCGTTCGTTTGCAGCAAATTGACTTTTGAGGGGGAAAATGTTTTTCTTCAACAAACGAAACGAATTAAGAAACGAAAACAAAATGAACGTTCGAACTAACTACCGCTACCGAATTTCGGAAACGGAAATTCGGATTTGTTTGCATTCGTTATATCTGTAATTCGGATACATCCAAATGTCCGAATTTCCGAAAATTCGTCCGAATTTCGATTCGGAACGAAACGAATCGCACATGTCTACTTTTCACTCTCTGCCCTTTTCCAGCTTTTCCATCCATCCATCCCTTTCTTTTCTCCAGATTATGATTTCCCATTCTTCCCATCATACCTTTTTTCCTTCCCTTTTCCCTAACTTCAGTTTTTACCTTCTTTCCATTCCCCCCC